TAGGGTTTAGGGCTTAGGGTCGGCAATCTATCTCCACAGACCAGGGCTCCGCATAGGGATCCTGCAGGATTTGAAACTTAGCCCGTCTGGACTTTTGAGATTACCAGTACGAACACTTCTAGAAAGTCAGCGCGGCTTTAGCATTGAGATGTCGTAGTAGCAGTGCCTGAACTATTTGGGTGAAGGAGGGCATGCTCGCTTGTTAGGGTTAGGGTTTAGGACTCAAAACCTTTGAGATTTTAGAGCTTTAACACTGTAGAATAACAGTATGAATATTACATCCTTTGCTGAGGCAATCTGCCGAGGCGCAGCTTGCAAGCGGAGAACCCTGTGTTCCTTGCATGAATCCTAATTCCTGCTGACTCTTGGCACACTTCTTTCTTGGAATGTCTTTGGCCAAAAGGTATGCGGCTGGGACATCTATAGAACTTTCTCTTGCTGCTCCTAAGAATCCATCCACTTGGCTTACTTCCTAGCGTACTGAAGGCAAGGCTAACTCCAAGTGATTTCAGTTTAGACAAACCCGAAATCCTAAAAACCCTCAAAACCCTAAAAACCCTAAATCCTAAACCCCAAAGAAGCCATGGTCGTCGGACGCTTGGAATCCGTACGATGGCCTTTGCGGAGTAAAGTACATTGCTGCAGCCAAGAGGCGTAGATGTTCCTGATATGCTGGTTTAGGGTTTCTGGCTTAGGGACAAAGAGTCTGGCTTACCTAACCACCCTCCTCTAGAGTCTCTAGAGGCCAACCCCCTCCGAGGTTCCATTGTATTTAGGCATATTTAGGGTTACCCAAGCTTAGTTAAGGGTGAACGTTGGTGGGGGTTAGGATACAAAAGGAACCCATGAAAGAACCCTGAGATGTCTTTGGCTTTTTGTGAAACCAAGGTGCTTCATGATCTCAACTTATGAAACCTTAAAAAAAACAAGATCGTCAGCGTTTCACGAGAACCTTTGGGGGCTCAAGGTGATTTTAACCAAGATCTGATTGCACAGAAAATCCAATAACATGCGCCCTCAATGCAGTAGTATCACTATAATTGGGTTGCGAGACCCAGCTATACTTGGGTTGTAAGTACCTGGAATCTCCAAGCACCCCTGAGCTAAGCCTTCAAAGCCAAAGGGTCTGTTCAAGGGACTGCCTACTCCCTGCCCTTGCCTTTGCATCGGCAGGAGGTTCATTCTTGGGCTGTTACATTACTCGCCGCCAGGATGTATGGAGGTTTATAATATTCTGGGCTCTTTGTTGGGGCTCCCCCGTTTATGCAAATTATCATATACAGTGTCAAGTCCGGCACGACGCCATGCTGTCATGCTGTCAGAGTTCTTGTGTGCTTTATCAGTTATGGTCTAAACTCCAACCCCCTTAACAAGCCCTATACTACTCCCTTATATAGTCCTCTATATGACCCCCCTTTCGGAGTTTGACTATAGCTCATATGCAAAGAGTTTTCAATGTGGCTCCAGAGCGCGCGATTCTGAGTATGACATGGGTATGTCCCGGGAAAGTCCCTATATCTTGCATGGGCCCCCGCATGCTCCCCCTCAATATTCAGGCGCCCCTGCAGCATCCTTAGCAACGTGCCCCCTTCCATTAATCCAAAGCATCCAGAAAGCCAAAGCCCTAAACATGTTGAACCACGCGTCTTCTTGTCATCAATCAGCGGGGAATGACGGATTTGCCTTGGGATGCATGCGGCTTGTATCACGAGCGACATCAATCTGAAGCACCCTACCTGCTTCTGGGCAGCACAGCATAATTGCAAGGAAACATGCTGAACCTAAGAACTGGAACCCAACCTCTGCCGGCAAGTATCTCACCAGAGACACCCGAGCATAAGGAGTTAGAGCCTGCTAAACATTGTCTGCTGCTCAAAGATAGGTGTAGTTGCAAGTTTCCTAGAAGAGGCCCTTCAGTGGCTTTAATTCGACATCCTACCTTACAACCCCACTGTATGTCCATGAACCTTCGGCATCTTTCCAACAAGAAGGCAGGGAGAACATACTCAAAAAGAAGGATCTCCAGTCACGAGATATGGGACGTTTCCCCATATTTAGGGAACCTAGCTGGAGTTCCCGTAATAAGGATTATCGTGTTTGGGGGGTCTATATTGGGGTCCCCCTATTCTAGTAAGTACCTTATGATTTTTACGGTGGACGTCAGTGATTGGAACAACGCATGGGATACCCTAATTGAAAGCCTAACATAAGTGATGGGGTGGGTGATGGACCGAGATCCATAAGCAGGGAAAGGTTGATGTTTTGGGGTTTAGGGTTTAGGGTTGGAGCGGCGATATATCCTATAATATCCCTGTATAACCTCTATGTAAAACCCTATATCCCTATAACATCCCTAAAGAACCTCAACGACAAGCAACTGCCACGTTGTTCACTCACGTGGAGCTTCTTGGAAGAAAGAATGTAGCCCCGTGGTTCTCGGCCAGAGGTTACCCAATTTCTTTACGAGGACCTAGGTTTAAGGACCCCTAAACCCTAGATCCTTTTTGCATCCGGGCTCGCACAGAGCCAGAAAGAGTTTCCACCGAGGCCCGGGAGCACAAGCGATCACAGGTTTGACTTCCAGATTATCCTAAACCCTATAAACCCTAAACCCACCTAAATCCTGCACCCTAAGCCCTCAATGGACGATACAGAGCTTCAGAAGGCCTATATAGCAGTCATGGCTCCAAACATGCAAATATCTGCTGCCATCACTGCGCGACAGCTTAGACTATGGTGAACTTGGAACCCTAGTAAAAACTATACTGCCTGCTGTTCCCCAGGATCATAATAAGCCAGCAATAAAAAGTATCTCCAAGTACCCCTAAGTAGACTATGGAAGATGCTCCGAAACCTAACCCCAGCAACACAAACACCGTATCCTTTCGACTCTGTCTGGTCTTGCTGGTAACTTGCAAAATCATTGACCCAAGGTGGCTGTGTCAACTTATGTCCGCTAAAAACACAGGTCCCTCTGGCAAGATTACAGCAAGACTCTCTTGAAGTGAAATGCGGCGCATTTGCCCTGAAAACTACGCCTAAGGGTCCAAGTACCCAATAATCATATACTTACCCAAAACCTGTACTATAATCCCTATTACCCAAAGCCCAAGTACCTAATTATTGGGTACATGGACCCTCTGGGTAAGCCGTAAGCACGAAGTGCGGCTTGGCAGCTCATCCAGCTCGTTTTCCCAGACCCAGGAAGGATTCGAGATATCTGACGGGACCTCACAGCTTTTTTTTGCAATACAACAAGACAGTATGTACTGTTATGCATTTGGGAAGATTCGTTGTTGGGAGAGTAAGGGCGGGTGTAGTCAAGCGAAGAAGCTTATTTCAGATGCCTGGATATCTTGGAGAGTCTTCCTGGGTACCATGTAGTTAGCAGGCATTGCTACTACCATATGTAGGATTCTTGTTACTTGTTGCACAGGCTTCTACATCATCTATGTCCCAAACTAAGGCAATTGAGGAAAAGCACGCGACGGTTTCGCCTTGTGTATGTAACATGTCTCCAGTGAGAGTAAGGGAGAGACTGACAAGCAAAGTCATACCCAGGAGCATATTAAGATTTACAGGCTGTGTATGTCCGTACTATAGGGTGGTATAGCTAGAGTGTGTTTAGAGCTGAGGGTTCTCTGGGACTGGAGAGCCTTTGTAGTTCTGACCTCACATGAGGCTGATCTGGCTACGAGGCACCGGCATCGCTTCATGCATGTTTCGGCACACGCGTCGTGCGTGTTGAGGGTTTGGGGTTTCATGGAAGTTGGTACCGGTTGGCCCCTGATTTTTGGGGGAGTTTATCGATCTGTGTAGATTGTGGGCAGAACATGAGACAGGGCTCGCCTCTGCCCTGCCACCAGCACAACTGAAGAAAGACGGCAATCGCTCTGTACAACCATGGTAGGAGGCATGATTCCTCATTGCTTGCGTCGCTCCCCAGAAAACGTCCCCACCAACTCAAGGACAGCAACAATTGCCGCGCGTCTAGGTGCAGAATATTTGGACAGTGGGTCTGTGCTTCAATTGAGTGGCAATCAAAGTCAGTGCCTTCATCCACTCTATGAAGATCTAAACCTGACCCGTCATCTTCGTGCCACACCCTACTCAAAATCCGAAAAGGAAAGCCCAAGCCAAAAAAAAAAAAAGCCCCATACCAGACGCCGAATGGAAACTTGCTCTCAAGAAACGGACCAAGTGATCGTGTTGGTGCCGCCAAGATCGCCGCCGCGCTTGTAGTAGTAGTATCCGTTGTCATCTCAGCTTGCAGAAAGCTCACTGGTATTGAGGCATATGAGTACCAGTTTCTACGCAAGCTGCAGGGAAAACCAGCGAAGCTGTGCTGAATCCCCCCAAAACCCAAATTGTTGTTGAGTACTAGGCATAACGGATCGAGACTTTACTGAGCAAATTAGCCAAGAAGAAAAGTTGGGGATTTCCAAAACTTAGTGGCCACTTTTTGGGTCCCCATATTGAAGGATTGCAGCATATAGGGCCTGCGCTCATTCCGCTTGTTTAAAGAAAAGTAAAGCATGGTTAACTGTAGACGAGCGCAGATCATACGCAGCGCCCGGCCACGGCCCAAACTGCACACTGGCCACTGTTTCTAAGATCTTGCAATGGTTCCGCCATTGGGCAGAGTTGTAGCATGAACAATGCCATGGGCAGCACCACTATATTCAAACTCATTGGGCTACTTAGCTGATCCCAATCCCACTGGCGAAGCTTATATCACCTACCCAAAAGGCACGAGTGCAACCGGCATTTGTTAAACATCTCAGAAGCCAGTATGACCCCTACAAACTCTGCATAAGCCATTCCTGAAAACCCACACCCCCATGCGACCCCGACCTCACCCTAAACCCTATACCCTAAATAATTTGGTAGTTTCCAGTTTCCATCATAAATAAACCTACTTACGATAAAGTTTCCCTAAACCCTTTTTGCAACAGGCTTCTGAGGGCTGCGCCTGGAAGTGTCATATTGTTCTCCGAACAAGCAACACACAAAGTGAAATCACAAGTGCCATCTCAACCCCAAATCTTTAACGGCCGGGACCCAGGACCTCCTATGTAGTTCCT